TGAACAGTATTTCGGTTGATTCTACTGGAATTTCATTATGGAACTGCTAACTTTATTCTGTATACAAACAAAATAAAACTTATTGTATATGGGAATATAATCTAAAGATTATATTTTATTTTCTAGATAGTGACATTGGAGATTTATGTTAATAAGATCATTCTTCTAACCATTATTCATCAATAAAACATTGCTAGTGCTGCCTGCCTGCTTCTCCAATGTGTATAATGCCCAGATTTTTCCCTTGGTCTTGCCTTCCCGAATTGATGCAATAAAGGTGGGGTGCCCTGGTACTTCCCACAAAAATCACTGCAGTTTTAGTGCTGTTCCTGCTCAGTCCTGCCTTCTCCTGGACATGGTGTTTACTGGCAACCTTGTCCATTCCAGGACCTCTTCAACTTGAGGTTTCGAGTTTGGCTGAAAGCAAAAGAAAGGTTCCTTTCTGCCTTGCTAACCCTTCTTGTTATTTACCCCAGCTTTTTGCAGATATTTTCAAGATCGCAGAAAGCATGTCTTCAAAGGAAGGCTGAGAAAGTTGGAAGAGTAGTCACAAGTGTGCCCTGTAGCTTGTTCACTATATTTTTTGAGAGCAGATGAGTACAGAAACTCATTGTCCACTCCCTTTTGGGCTGTTTGGTGTACGTGATCTGTTTGTTTGCTTTCAAAGCAGTACTGTATATTCCCTTGTTACCTATTTCTGGTTTTTACTGCTTATCTCTCCTACACTGACAGCCAGACTTACAGACCTTTAACTCTGCCATGCTTTCCACTCGCTAGCAGGATTTGTGCTCTTTACTCCTAACATTTTAAGGAAAATAGATTTTCCCCTCAAAAATGATAAAACACCTCTGAGAACAGGGATATAGAATTCCTTATAGATACATCTGCCTATGGAGATAATTAGATGTTCTACCAGAGGTGTAATGTGCAAGGATTGGTGAGGTTTCCTTTCCTCGTGGTGTCCCTTCCTTCTTGCTTCTTGTGCTTCCTCTGGTATGTGTTCACAGCACATTTTCAAGGTGTGGCTGTGTCCTAGGGATTGTGAATTCATCTAGAAATGCTAAGATGCCATGATCAGAACAGAATTATTTTATACATGGTATATATAAAATGTCCATTTTTTTTTCTACTCAGGTGCCTTCTCCTTAATTCATTCCTTCTGTCTGGACTAGTGCTGGTGTTGACAGTTTGCATTGTAATATTTTGTCTAGGCCTAAGTTGTTCTCAATTTTGCTGAGCAAGAGCCCTTAGGGGGAAGTACAGGGAAAGGAGGATGAGCATTTCCTGTGCATGACAAACTTTCTGTACATTCTAGGCACAAAGAGAAGGGCGTATTTTCTGATGGGATTTGAGTGAGGCTTGAGCAAGATTGGTTCATTAGCTCAAGGATCCAAAATGATGCAGAAACAGCAAATTATCACTGCTGGGGACTAGTCTTGTAGTTTGTACACAGTCTCAACCAAGGTAACTTGTCAATTCATGTCACTTTAGGACAACAAAAGCTCTTCCTTCACTTAACAAAGCCTTCACTTAACAAAGAGAAGCTTAATCAGGAATGTCCTGATGTTGCATCTGTGCATAGCTGATAAGCCCTACAGATAAAAGGTCTGGGTTTTGTTGGGTTCACAAGGAAGCCTGCTGCTGGCCTGATGGGGGAAGTTGGCAAACACATCCTAACTGCTGTGGCTTCTGTCTTCCCCGTGGGGTGGATGCATCTGGTAGGGTTCTTTGCACAACGTGCAGGGATGCACTGAATAACAAGGTTGATCTTGCCATTTAATTACTCCACTGTCAGGTTGGGTTTTGTTTGTTGTAATGTTTGATTTCTGACCTATGTCTGACTTGCATCAGCTCACTAGTTCTGAGTGATACTGTATCTTTGTTCACAGAATAAAAGACCTGTCCTGCCAAAGCTATTTTTCTATAGATGGCTGCCATTATACCACATCTGTAACCATCTTTTCATCCTCATTTCCTTCATCAGATGTGAACAAATAAACTGTCTTTTCCTCCAGTTTTTGCATAACAACTCAAATGAAGTCTGGTTTACCCATTTTAATCTGTGACACTTTAGTAATTTACAGAACATGATTAGCAACTCTGTTAACCGAGTTTTGAATGCTCTGTGAGAGTTTTTGTCAGAAAACTAAAGCAGACATAATGTTAGTGAAGATAGGAGGCTGGCTGTGTTGTTTCTTGGCTACAAGTAATTTTCGTTTGTGAAGATTATCAATGTTAGTTTTAAGTGACAGCAGATACAGTTCCAGTTCTTTTAGGATGTTTATCATATTCCTACCTGTTGATTTTGTTTTTAGAGTGGATGAATTTTCATAATTTGATTTAAATTGTTCATATGTCCCATTACAGCATGTAACATAAGACATAAATAGAAAAAAAAAATCCAGTAGTATGTTGTGATACAGTGGACATGCTTCCTGCATCAGAAGTCAATGGATGATGTTGAGATCTGTTTGTTCAATTGGAAGAGCAGGTATGGTGGCAATATTATGTGTTTAGACTTCTGCATTAATAAAAAAAAGAATAGCAATAAAAGTCTGAAGATTCTTGGGCACTTGATTAGAGCCTAGTCTTGGAAATGTAAGGTGATGTCTGCTACAGACACTCTCAAGGGGATAACAATGTGCGTACTTTCTATGATCATACTCTATGAAAAACTGGTAAAGTGCTTTTCCCTAGATCTTCTTTTGAAATTTATACCTTTCTATAAAGCTTCTTGGAATGTCCTTTCTGAGTGCATCAGGCAAGTTTGGTTACCCATGGCTTTTAAGTTAGACTAGAATTTAAATGTCAAATCATTATAGCTAGGAAATCACTGCTGTGTCAGATGAGCTTCAAAGCTCACATCATGATTTATTAAAAAAATATAAAATCACAAAAAGAAATTTTAAAAACATTGAGAGTCCATGGGTGTCTCAAACACTGTTCTTCAAATTCTGCCACTCATATTGACAAAATTATTTGGGAACCTCTGACACACTGGGCAAATAGTTTGGAATTGAGTCCACACCTAAGTTTTTCATTTCACTAAGATTTCCTTATTTTGTGGTTTGAGTATTGGAATACTGATTTTAAATTTTTTAATTATGGAGAATATTTTCTAAGAAGGTAAATGTTTAAACAGAAATGGCACTGTATATTAATCAGAAATGTCTACTGAGAAATGTCATAGTGTATTAATCTCTTCTGAAATAAACTTGATGTATCTAGACCTAAGGAATTGTTTATTTAAATACTTGTTGGTGCGTGTGTATGCACACACACATATGTACATGCCTCTGGCTTTTCTTTAGCATGTTTTTAAACTTCATTAGGTACTTTCCAAAGATCATTCTTGGGCAATCTAACAGTGCCGTTCCCTACAAGTATCAGTGTACTGTCTGGCTTGAAGACCTACTAAAGGTTCTGCAGTTTTTAATTTGCCTAATGGCTATAAAATTAATATTATTTTGGAAGGGTAGGGGTATTATATTGCAATTCTTACCTGAGAGTGAAACTGTGAAGTTCCTTTTAGGATGTAGACTGTCCCAAGGAGCCTGTGATGTGTTATCAGCAATTTGATTTTGAATGTTGCAGAGGGATAATTCAAAATATAGAAACATGTACTTTTTGTATCTTATCAAGTATTTGTACCAACTGTTTTGTTGCAATGCACCTTAAACACATCAATGTGGTGATTTAATTTCAACATGTGCAAACATTTATTTTTTAAATGGAAACCTCTGTGTTCATTCTCAGCTGTAAATCTTCTCATTTTTTTTCAGATTACTCTTTACATCAGTAGAAATGGACAGCAGCAGTTTCATTCAGTTTGATGTGCCTGAGTACAGCAACACTGTTCTGAGCCAGTTAAACGAGCTCCGCTTGCAAGGAAAGCTATGTGACATAATTGTGCACATTCAGGGTCAGCCCTTTCGAGCCCACAAAGCTGTCTTAGCTGCCAGCTCTCCGTATTTCCGTGACCATTCAGCATTAAGCACCATGAGTGGCTTATCAATATCAGTTATTAAAAATCCCAATGTTTTTGAACAGTTGCTTTCTTTTTGTTACACTGGAAGGATGTCCTTGCAGCTGAAGGACGTTGTCAGTTTTCTCACTGCAGCCAGCTTTCTACAGATGCAGTGTGTCATTGATAAATGCACACAGATACTGGAGAGTATTCACTCAAAGATCAGTGTGGGTGATGTTGACTCTGTCACTGTTGGTGCTGAAGAAAATTCAGAAAATCGCAATGGAGTCAAAGACAACAGCTACTTTGCCAACCCCATTGAGATATCTCCCCCCTATTGCTCTCAGGTGCGACAGGCTGCAGCCGGCAGTGACCTTCGGATGGAAACTGCTTCCGGGAAAACTCTGCGTAGTCGTCTGCAAGAAGAAGGGCATTCAGATCGAGGAAGCAGTGGGAGTGTCTCTGAGTATGAGATTCAGATTGAAGGTGATCATGAGCAAGGAGACCTGATAGTAAGGGAAAGTCAGATTGCAGAGGTGAAAGTTAAAATGGAAAAGTCTGACAGGCCAAGCTGCTCTGATAGCTCTTCCCTGGGTGATGACGGATATCATACTGAAATGGTGGATGGAGAGCAGGTAGTGGCAGTAAATGTTGGTTCCTATGGGTCTGTCTTACAACATGTTTATTCATTTACCCATGCCTCGTCACAGGCTACAGGTGTGTCCGAAGCCTTCGGAAGCCTGAGCAATACAAGCCCTTCAGGGTCAATGCTGAGCTGTTTCCGAGGAGGCCGTGCACGCCAAAAACGGGTATCCACTGGTCACTTGCATAGTGATCTTCAGGGCTTGGTGCAAGGGGCTGACAGTGAACCTACGGTGAGTAACCCCAGATATGAAAATAGTCCACGGGAAAGAAATCCAAGAGGTCACTGGTATCCATACAGTGAGAGGCTAATTTGTATTTACTGTGGGAAGTCTTTCAACCAGAAAGGGAGCCTTGACCGACACATGCGATTGCACATGGGAATAACTCCTTTTGTGTGCAAATTTTGTGGGAAGAAGTATACCCGCAAGGACCAGCTCGAGTATCATATTCGTGGTCACACAGATGACAAACCCTTTCGCTGTGAGATCTGTGGCAAATGTTTTCCTTTCCAGGGTACACTAAACCAGCATTTGCGAAAAAATCACCCTGGGGTAACAGAAGTAAGAAACAGAGTTGAGTCCCCAGACAGAACAGAAGCATTTGTGGATCAGAAGGTAGATAATGATGCTTCAGCTTCTGAAGCTATGGATTCGAGTCTGGAAATTCATGCAATGGCTAACACATCTGATTAAAATATTACCTTCTAAGTGCAACACAAACAAGCACATTACTAATGTATTTTTTGAATCTTATTATTTTAGTAATCTTCAGTGTGAGTATAACAGCCTTTTAATTTTCCTGACTTTTAAGCAATCAGTTTTAAACTGTTTCCAGAGAGGGCTCCATAATTATTATTTGTTTTTGAAGGAGGCTGGGTTGTTTGGGTATTTTTTACTTATGATGGTGCTCAAAATGTAAAAAACTATGCTGGGCAAAGGATAGGAAGAGTCTGCTCTGTGTCCCTACTGGTTGATCTGGCAAGACACAAATTCCAGTGGAGAAAGACACTAGAATAAGATTGGAAGCTCTGCTGGGTACACCAAGAAGCTGTAATCTCCCTTATTTTATTTCCTAAATCCTGTTGCTGGTCATGAGTTACACAGCAGTGGAGAGAGAGAATAGCACAGCTTTGATTCCTTCCATGTGTCATGATGGAATCTCTTTGCTTTTAGAAACTGTTTTTGGCAGTTAGTCTGTTTATATATATAAATTAGCTTTATATATATAAAATACTTTTAGTTTTCCTATTCTGGTTGAGGTGAATGTAAAAGTATGTCAAGGTTTATACCATGTACCACTCTTTCAACTGCTAGGTCTCCTCCCTGCTTAGGATTTAGGATTTCAGACTTTGGAGGGATGGTTTTGGTTTTCAAAGAATATTGCTTGGTTTTCATTTTATTAAACTATTACTTTGTGTGCAAAAGTGAGCAAAGTGAATGACCGTGTTTTAATAGCTTTGCTTTATAACATGCAAACCAAATGCCATGAATCTATTAAATTATGGTTAAATTGTTGAGGGGTTTTGTTAGTTGTCTAGAATGCAAGCTGGACAACCTGTGGTGCTGACATTTTATATATATAGAAATAGATATATATATATATAAAAAAAACACACACACACAAAAAAACACAATACAAAAAAAAAAACATAAAAAAAATTAGCAAACCTAAAAGTAGCATTGTGGTTTTAAATGTGTTTTTACTGGCTTCAGAATCTACCTTCATTTTGTACTGTAGAACCACACCAGGTAATTAAATTTAGCTTCATCACTCTTCATGGTTGATTAAAACCTGAGAGAGATGTTGTAGTTTAAACTACAGTATTTCCAAGCAGTGTTTTAATAGGCCTCTTCACAGAGAACTATTTTCAGGTGCACATCGACTTCCTACTTAAAGCTCCAAGTCATATGTCAGCACTTGGAATTTGTACCTTTTTTTGTATAAAAAACCCACAAATACTCTATGGGAATTTTGAGCAATATGTTTGTTATTTCATGTGTGAATATTACAGAATTGCTATGGCTTCCCTACTATTTTCAGTGGTTGTTTTCTGTATAAAGGAACTACCAACAATTTAAAAAATACTGTAAATCTTTTTGTTTCACCAAATGTGTTTTTTAAATATGGTGCTAACTTCATAATTTAGGTCAGTATAATATATAAAATGTGAAACCTCATGGTAACAGTTAAGCAAAAACAAACAAACAAAAAAAAACAAACACAAAAAAAACCCCAACAAAACCACACAAAATAAAACTAACAACACAACAAGAAACAAACAGAAAAAACCCACATCAAGTAAACAAACTGCAACAACAAAAAAACCAATAGCTTGAGAGACCTCAGAAGCATGAACTGGCAAACACTACTGTGTGAAATTCTACCTGATGAACAGAATTAAATTAATCATATGCTTCTTTAACATACAGATTTCATATATTAATTGGGACTTATGTTTGTTTAGCAAATGTTGAAAATGCATCTGCGAACATGTTGTTAAAGTCCTGAAATTTAGACAATAAAAGGTCATTCCTAAATTACAGGAAAGCAAAAAGGTAGGTTTGCTATCTTGTAAAGCTTTTGGCTCCCATGAAGTTGGGGCATATTTGTGCAGTAGCTTTATTAAATACACTATTTCTTAATATTGAAACAATCTGCAATAAGAATTAATTTCACTAAATACAGATTTACAGTATAAACCCCACCTGCTCCATTGGAGCAGTGTCATTTTAATTGAGTACATAATTTGCCTCTTTGTTCTAAAATTGCCTAAATAAAGAGGCAGAGGGTGGGGAGATGTTTCTGTCCTTGAAGCAACAATAGAGCTTTTGTTTCCAGTAAGGGAAAGTATATGTCTGTGTCTAGGGAAAGTAGGCTACATATTTACCCACTTAAAAACATGTTGGTGTTTCTGATGCTGTTTTTTTCCTAAATGTTTGTTTTAATTAATTAAATGGAAAAAAAAAAAAAGGTGTTTTGATAAATTAAGTTTGAGACATGCAAAATCCAAGAAATGTACAGTTATTTTTAACCCTTCATCTTGGACCTGTGCTGTGGTGCCTTTGGTGTGGCTTTTACATGGAAGTATGAATTGAGGATAGCAGGATATGGGTACTAATTTTATATTTCTTGAATTTCTCTGTGTCACAACCTTAACATTATTTAAATTTAGTTCTTTGTATTTGTAAATGTATTTAAATGGTTTGAGTTTACCAAAGAGTGACTTATCCAAAATTGTCTCTGACAAAAACAAACAAAAAAACAACATCACTTTGATTGTACAGGTTCAGGTTCAAAACATTGTAATGGGACTGTTAAGGGGCAGGAAATTATTTTTTTTTTTCTACAAAATCATGATTCAGCAGTGTGCAAGTTCTGCTTGCTCCTGTTTTTTCCCCTCCCCCTGCCAGCAGTGTCAGTAATGATCAAGCCATAGCGCAGGACTGTGAAGTTCAGCAGTGCTGCAAGGGACGAGCAGCAACCATTGTCCAGCATCACACCTATGCTCACAAGTGTGTGATTCTGGTAGAAAACGAGCTTCAAACCTGGCAACAGCAATTCAGTTGTGCCTTGTCACATAGTGGTATGCCAGGATTAACATTGTCATGAAACATGAAGCATTATGTGGTTGAAGTTCATTTCACAAGTCCACCAGAACAGAGTATGCTGTGTTATTTTAAGCAAATTATGGAAGTACTGTACAGTGTCTTGTGTCTGTACAGTTTTAAGTTAGCACAGAGCTGTTACACATTTCATTTACAATAAATGCAGAAGTCAGTAAAATATGTGAAGAAATATTTGACAGCAAAAGAAGTAATGAAATTATATAGGTTGGTTCATAATTGAGTCTCTTCTTAATCTACCTTTTTAATTACAGACAAATGTGAAAACAGTGACAGTGTCCTTTCCTCTAGATGTTTAACCTATTATGACAAACTGTGAAAATAAAGGATTTTTTACCTTTGCTAATGTTTGTGGTTTTTAAACACTTTAGTTTTCTTAATCAGTTATCTTACATATTATTTCTTTTAAACTTGTAAATACATTTAGAAAATAGTTTTGTAAATACTTACAGTATATTAAAAGCTGAGCTTGGTCAATAAGGCCTCAAGATTGGCTCTGCTTTTTTATAGTGTGAAATCTTTCAATAGCATAAAGGATACTGTCAGTTCACTGTTCAGCAGAATATACTGTAGGCCTAAATTGATAGTTCTTAATGCAGTCTTCCCAAGCATGAATTCATGTTCTATGCTGCAGCCTTTGGTTTACTTTCAGATAAAACAGTGAGGCCTCTTAATATATATATATATATATATATATAATTTGCATTTTTGTATTAGTTTACTGTGATTCTTTTATTGTCATTTTTCTAAACAGGTTTCACATGGAACCATTGAAAGGGACTCAAATATGCAACACCTAATCTATTTTCCAAGGGCATTTTACCCTTGAATGGTGCTTTTTGACTGGTCAGGGTTATTTATTAAATTTTATATTTGAAAGTATTTGGGGAATTATGTAAATTCTTTATATGAATCTGTTTATTTCATGAATTGTAAATTTCTTAATACTCAGTGATTGAATTGGAAGTTTAGTAAAGTCATTCAAAATGTTCAAAGTTTATAATCTGTGTGTATTTTACATATTTTAACAAGTGCCAGAATAGTTGTATTTAATATTGTAGATTTAATACTACTTGCACATCCCTGTGACAGCATTAACTTAAGTTACAAAAGTTTACATTTAAAATAAAAAAAGCTAAACAAACAAGTAAGCCTGGGACACGTGTTCCTGTATTTCTTCAGAGGAGTGAAGCAAAGTGTCACTAACTGAGCAGGTTTTGCTTCCAGTTGATGAAGTGGCTCCTGCTGTGTTGGATCCAAAACCTCCTGTCCCTCCATTCACAGATGCTATGAATTCAGCCTTGGACTTGTGTGCAAGCCCCTGGCTGGCTGATTCGAGGTGGAGCTCTTGCACGATTTTAACAGTGTTTGTTTCTGACTGAAAAATTGTATTTTTAAATAACTTTTATTTGTATGGTTGTTTTTCATGATAAATAATTGAACAGTTTGAATGACTTGACTTGGTGTCATTATCTTGCAATATAAACCGTAAACCTCACAACTCCACACTTCATCACCATGTGAAGTAAATGAAGCTAGCTAAGCTGATGCTGTAACAATTAATAACTTGCCATTAAGGATTATTTTATAGCATGAATTTTAAAATATTTATTCAAATGATATTTTACTCTTGTATTCACTTTGTTTTTAGATTTGTGACATGAATATTTCAGTGCTGCTTTATTTTGTTCTGATGAATTTGTTTCTTGCTTGTAAATTGCTTTTTTTATGGTATAAAGTCAATGGGAATTGCTGTTTGTAAATTAAAATGCTTCTAGAGCGAATCTATGGTGTCAGTGTCTACATTGAGATATTTAATTACTAAGGGGCTTGCATTTTAGATGCTTCTCCTGAAGTGTCATAAAAAGTTGCTGTTTAATCCTCATGTACCAATCAAGAATCTTGAGAGACAAACTACTCCTGAAGTTTGTCTTTTTTGTCAGCATTGCTTGTTTAGTTCTGAACAGATGATTCTTTGAGTTTTGAACTCCAGAACTCTGTCCAGCTCTCAAACAAATCAAAATGCAGTGGCAACCAGTGGGACAGGGAGCCCAGGGCAGGCAAGGGCCGTGGAGATCACTTTGCAGCTCTCTTGTTTTGTGCTCTGCCACATGCAGCATCAGGGCTAATGCTGTTCTTGGCACTGATGGGATAGATCTCTTAGCCCACAAGCTTGAATTTAACACCAGTAGCCAATAACTGCTTGGCTGCCCTCAGGCAGCACAGCCTCAGCTCCTCTCATGGACGGGT